GCATCCCTTAAAACTGTCACTAAACATAAGAATGGTTGACAGGAAAAAAAAAAAAAAAAAGGAAAAAAAGAATGGTTGACAGAAAAGTAAGATTTAGAGATCAAGACCATTTGGGTAAACAGAACTTCACCTCTGCAGATCACCTCTCAGGCCAGCGTGCTACATGGGATAATTTGCTTTGCTGCCTGACTCCTGCCCTTCTGACCCGGCTTGAACTCAGCTCAGGAACACATCCACCAAGATCTGGCTCCAGCTCTTCCTTGCTGTTCCACATAGAATCAGTAATAACGGAACATCCTTTGTTTGCATGGGATTTGACAGCTAGTGACAGACAGACCTGAGAAGCAGCCATGGCCTTAGCTTGGCTGCACTTACACTGTTCACGTATAATGACACATGTATGTGTGAGATTTAACGATGGATGGTAACATTCAAGGTCTTGAGTGGGTTTCCTGTAGCCTACTCCCTGGCATCTATCATTTTAATAGCCACCAAGAAAGAAAAAATATGGTCCTTATTAATATCCTGAGTTTGACCTTCCACTTGTCTTAAATTGAAACTCACTGATAGCCCGGAATGCAACCATGCCTATTAAAGGAATGGAGAAGTCTTCTTTCCTGGTGTGACTTCATTTTCCCCATGGAGTACAAAATAGAAAGGGAGAAAGTCAGCACTGAGGTCGACAGGGTTATAATGGGAGAGCTATTTCCCTTTAAATTACTCAAATTAAGGAGACTGATATATTCTGCTAAACTAGACATTAAGGCAACTTTCTTGTGAAATCACTTAACTGAAGCACAAAAAAAATAAATAAAATAAAAATCATGAAAATAGCCTATAATCAGAATTTGCCCGAATTAGGAAAGTAAAGCTCATAGATGCTATGGGCTACCTGACAATCTCATAAAACCTGGGGAGAGTCAGTTTCTGTTTCTTGCAACCAAAGGATCCTAAATAATACATACTACGTACCACTTTGTTTAAGATGGACCCACACTGGAACCTGTCGTTGGATGGTTCAGCAGGGGTTCCACAGATAGTTATGAGAGTCTCCAGTGCAGTAGTAATAACCATAGCGGAGCAGTTACAGCCCAGTGATATCTGCCTTTCTACTGTATGTGGGTAGACGATGGAACAAAGTATTCATCGTTAACCAAATGAGCAGTGCAAACAAAGGTGAAATTTGGTTCGCATAAGCACAAAGGCCAGCAAACTTTTAAACACTCCTAGAACAATTCTGTGTAGTATGGATGGGCTGATTTAAAAAGCACTGTTGCTTTATGTACTTGAATGTCACAAATGCAAAATTTCCTTACAAAACCTATAATTCTGGTTTCATATTTTTTTAAAAAACAACAAAAATGGATTAGATTAAGGATAATAAGCCCAGTTCAATGGTCCTTAGAATCAATTTATTTTAAAGAGAACACAGAGCACGCCCCTGGTCTTAAATACCATCTTACTTATTCTTTTCTAAACGGTGTTGACATTTTAAAAAGATAATTATTACACACGTGCTCGAGGCACAACTGAGTATGATGTCTTATGAGCCATACAATCTCTATCCTCACAAGTTTCCAAATTAATTGGGAAGCTAAGGTATTGACAAGCCCATAAAAAATTAAGTTAAAAAAGCAAACACCGGCCTGGCCAGCATGGCTCAGCGGTTGAGAATCAATGTAGAATCCAAGAGACTGCGGTTCGATTCCCCGTCGGGCACATGCCCAGGTTGCGGGCTCGATCCCCAGTCGGGGGTGTGCAGGAGGCAGCTGACCAATGACTCTCTCATCATTGATGTTTCAACTCTCTCTTTCTCCCTTCCTCTTTCTGAAATCAATAAGGATATATTTTTAAAAAACAAAAACTCACCGGCCAGGGCTAATACTGATTACACAAGAAGAGACCCAAAAGGTCACCAGTTCGACTCCCAGTCAGGGCACATGCCTGGGTTGCAGGCTCAATCCCCAGTAGGGGGTGTGCAAGAGGCCTGCTCATCGCCAACCTTTCACTAACTAGAGTCTCCATTTGCAAAGGAGAAAAGAGCACTAAGAGAAGTAAAAGCAGCATTCTGCTTTGCTTTACTTTCTTGTTATTTAAAAAATGATTTAATATAAGAATACACCAATATGAATGGAGGAGAGGTCTGGGAAGGTCTAATATCAAGTGTATTAAAAATGTATGACACACTGTATATTCTCACAGGAGCCCTATCCAGAACCTCTACAGCTGATTAAATGACATAAAAATGTGATTAATAATATTGTAAATCCTGTTGATTAGAAAACTCAGGGACATATGACAGATTGACCTGACTGTTTGATTTAAGCCAATATCACTGAAATAACCGTTCATATCCTGAGAAAGACTAATGTCTTGCCTGCAGGATAGAACACAGTATCAACGCACTTGTTTCTGAGTTTTGTTTTCACACTTTAAAGGCACTGGAAGCATTTTATATTGAAATCCTAGCGCAGAATTGCTACTAACCCCTCCAAATCATGGATTGAATTTCTGATGCAAAATAAAACAATAGATGCTAATAGCGAAAATCTGTACGTGGGGGGTCTGAGTGATTTTTGTTCATTTCTCCATACTTTATGGAATTTTTCCAAGTTTTCTACAAAGATATATGATAGGGGATAGGGAAGGGAAGGAAATGTTTACATTAAAACATAAAGAAGTTAAAATAAAAAATCATTTTAAAAACAAAAATGTTATAAGTGCTTTCCATCAGATCTAGACAAAACGTTCACTAAGATTTAAGCGGATCTAATGAACAGCCAGTGCATAATAGTATGACATACGTAACCACCATTCCCATCGCACATTCACAAGGCAGGGCCAAGCTGCTGTTCTTTGTTTTGATTCTTAGACATCTTAAAGAGGGATGTTCATCTGGAAGCCTAGACTACCTACTCCCTTTTGGTTAGACTCCCTTACATTTTGATGGGTACTTTTTCTTTTTACCGTCAGTGTCTTTTCTTCTGAGACCCATATCCCAACATCCCTCTGAGGAACCAGCCCTTCTTCCAATATTAGACCATGAATTTATAGGAGAATTGACTCCTCTCCTGGCTCCAGGTGTGGGCATGTGATTCATTCCCAGCCAAACGGAAGATCATATGCTCTGGTTACAGCAGTCGGTTCAGGAATGGGCACATGATCAATCTTAAGGAGATGCAGGAAGGCTGCGGGAGAACTACCTGCTCTTTTCTGCTGGACTTGAACCTGGGCAAGTGCATGTCAAGAGCTTTTTACAGTTGTTTTACTGGCATGGAAAGTACCAGAATGAAACTCACCTGGAGAAGAATTAGGTCCTCATTACATTGCTTAAGACCCTGGATCAAGTTAGTCTTGAAGGCGTCACTGCTTCTGGACTTTCCTATTGTGGAAGCCAAGGCATTCCCTTTGTGCTTAAGCCAGTTCAACTTGAGTGTTTACCCCTTGCAACTGAAAGAGTCCTAACTCACATAACCTTTGATCTGTCTAATACTCTACTCAGAGATATTGTTACCAGAGGATTTAATTGTTGCACCTTGTATATGATAAGATCAACAGAGTGGCACAGGTAGACTCCTGGAACAGAACTCCTTTTAATATACTAACTTCAAGTATTTCCATAGCACTATGTCTTTTGGAGCCTAAGTACCAAAGTTTTCACACTAAAGACATATGCATAACGATCAGTGTTTACATGACAAATAAATTAACCCTAAAGTTAAATAACATATAATAGACACTCGTACATACCAATATATTAAAATAAATTATGCTTTGGAAAGTTCTAAGCAGTACCCTAACAACAGTTCCTGCATTTTGACAAATATACCAAATAATGAACTCAAACAAAGGTTCTCAATCATATTGAGTTTCCCTGGCACTCAACGTCCACAACAATTTGAAGAGAGAGGAGTTTGTGTCTGAAGGTACAAAAATTCCATCTAGCTTAAGCTCAGCCACACTCTACTTAAGAACATCCTGATGTAAGCAAGGACCTCAGGAGACCTTCTATCCTGACTCACAGGAAATAACAATAAACCTACCTACTGATTCTGAAGGCACCCTGGTTGAGAAGGAGAGGGCTCAGGGAAGAGGGGAGTTTATGCCACCCTATTTTTCTCCTCCTTCTACAGGAGAGAGAGGCAAATGAAAGTCAGAGAAGATCAGAGAAAGGCTTTGTTGGAGGTGATCACTTCTGGCAGTGGGCCAACAGAGCTGTGGTCCGCTCTACAGCACCAATGAGTTTGACTTCCATCTGTTATAAAATCATCATAATAGACTAATTTTGTTTAAACAGAGTATATTTTGTATCTTCCAAGCAAAGGCAATGATACGCATACGAATGCACTCTGTCTTGAACGTACCCCTAGGATGTGATACTCTCATTCAGGGCACATCCCACACAACCGTGCATGGCAGCCTTGTGAATGAAGACTCTAATAAAGAATGCCCATATGAACAGGCCCAGCTTGAAACAGTTCAAGTCTTTTTTGACCTTATTTCATATTTCTGCCAGGGAGAAACATTTTCATCAGTATTGGATGTGTTAGACCTACTTAGCCTCCCCTGTCCCGATAACAAGGTCGCAAAAACGCCAGTTACAACTGGAGAAACAATCTTTTTTCTTTATATTTGTCATATTCTGGGAAACATTTTCTTTTTTTCAAAATTACATTTTTATGTATTTTTGTTTTTATTTTTATTACATGGTAATTTTTTTTCAATTTCAAGCAAAACAGTAAGGATATGGTAAAAAATAAAGGTCTTCCTCTTAATGACCATTCTTACTCCTCATAAACAACGTTAATTTCTTGAGTGTTTTTCCACTCAAGTTCCAGGAAGTTTCTATACATATAAGCATCACCAATAAACAAACAAACAAGTTAAAACTTCAACAAACTAATTAATTAATTAAAACTTGCATGTGTGACAAATATATTCAGTAAAATGCCTATTAAGGCAGGGTAAGTACCCATATCCCCCAGTTGTTACCTGTTTGAATAGGCATATCCAGGAAGACATCTTGAAGGAAAGTCTTCATTCTGCAAAGAAAAAGTAGCTGCTCATAATTATGCAAATGCAAGGCCAGCAGATACCCAGTCTCCTGGGATAAGACGGTAAGGGGACAATTCAGGCATGTGTGCTTTAGCCAGAGCCAGTCCTATCCCTGGTTTGCAGAGTTTGGAGAGGAGATGGACCAATTTGAAAAAAAACCCGTCTCCACTGTCTTCTGGGAAAGAGGAAATCTAGAGTTCAACCTCTCTCTGAAGTTAGGAAAACTAGTTGGGTGGCTGGTTTCCTCAAGAAAGGATAGTGAGGCCTCACCAGGAGGGCAAAGGGACATCAGCTCATCATCAGGACTCCAGGGTTTCCACTGAAGGGAATGTGGCCAACACTGGAGCTGGGATTTAGAGAATAGTTGGGATTTGGTACTGTGGGTACAAACTAAGAACAGCAATCCCTCCACAGTAAAAACAGGGGCCATCAGTTTCTCTGGATCCTGGAGGAATGAGGCATTCCAACAGCCACGGGCCACTGTCACCTGGCAGCAGGTGCCAGGACCAGGCAGTACAAGTCAGCCTAGAAGGAGACGCAAGGCCAGAAGACTAAACAGACTCTGCTGTGCTGGCTCCCCCTCGTGTTGGGAGCTGGGCTGACATACCCCTTTGGAACTGCATAAACCCTGGAGTTCTTCATTCATTAGGGTGGGCGGATACTTGAGCAATTTGCAGGAAAAAATAGGAGACATGTATTCATTTGTGTACCAAGCTAGTGTAGCATACCAAGCGGGTTACAATACTATAGATTTTCATGTCTATATATACTTGCTATATATACATATATACACACAAAGATACATATATAATCTCCACACACATATCTACCCATGTGTTCCTGCACGATGCCTACCATATGCTATCTTCAACTAGCTATTTAATATAATAATAATTATTGGATATTTTTCCATATCTGTGTATTTATTTCATTCCTTTTCACGGTTACATATAATTACATTGTATAGATTTATTATCATTTATTTAACTAGTTCCCTATTGATAGACTCTAAGTCATTTTCATTTATTTACTACTACAGACAATGATGCAATAAGTATCCTGTACATATATTTTTATTTGTCAGTGACATAAACTTCTAGAAGTAAAATTGCTTAAAAAACATAGGTGCATTCAAAAGGACAAGGGATATTGCCAGATTGTCCTTCCAAAAAGTTGTACCAATTTATACTCCTACTTACAGAGTATGAACCATATCCCATATTTTTTTCAAAAGTACAGAAAATTAAAGGTATGCATTTTCCACTCTAATAGTGAAAAAATATTTCATTTGATGCTATGCAACAATCCTAGGAGATAGAAATTGTTTCCCCAATCTTTCAGATGAGAAAAGCAAGGCTAAGAAAGATCGTATAGTTTATCATATGGCTAATAACTAAATGAACAAAGATCCAAACCCTAATATATTTGGTTCCAAAGCCCATTCATTCATTAACATAATAGAGTTTACTAGGTTTCAGATGCTGTTCTAAATATGTTATGTATATTTGCTCATTTTATCTTTATATGAAGACTTTAAGGTCGATGCAATTAATATCCCCATTTTACAGATGAAGTAACTGGCAAAGAGAAATTAATTTACTTGCCCAAGGTCACATGGTGGCAAAAAAAGGGGTAGTAACTCCAGCTGTTTGGTTCCCATTTGTTTACCTTAATAGCAACCTCTTTAAAATATTTTTGTTTTGCAAAGAGAAAAATTCACCTCTGCAAAGGCACTGGCTCTACATATCAATGTTTATTTTTTTTAAAACATTATGAGAAAATAAAAATTGGATAAAGTTAAAAACACCAATTCAATGGGTTTCAAATGGCTACATATTTTGATATCCACCCAATAGCACCCCTTCTTTCTTCTTTCTCAAATTTAAATAACACTATCTCAGGATCTGCAATGATTGTCAATAAGGTTGTAGGCCTTTTCTATGCACAGCTCCATAGCTGTCACACATTTTGTGATATAAATTTAATCACTTAGGTAGAGGGGACAGATGTTCAACAGCCATTGTGCAAAATGTTATGAGCAGGTGTAAACCCATCCAGCATTTTAGCTGATGAGGATTTGAATGGAAAACTTAGGAAAATGCAAAAAGAAAAAAAAAAAAAATCATTCTTCTAATATCTGCTTTTACCATAGATTTTTAATCATGATATTCTTAAACAGGAAAATTTAGCATTATTTTATTTTATTGATTGATTTGAGAGAGACAGATAGAAATATCGATTTGTTGTTCCACTTATTTATGCATTCATTGGTTGCTTCTTGTATGTGCCTTGATTGCATTATTTTAAGTAAAAGGGGAAATGCTAGACTGCCATGGTTATAAGCCCGATAAATTTGTGTTTTGTAAAGGATTTAGAATGGATTTTCAAAAATACTGTGTATCTTGACAACAATTTACAAGTTAAATAAGATAAAAAAATACATGTACCAAATAAGGTACTTTACTAGATTTATCATCTTTGAATATATTCCCATATACACATAAGCATCGATATATCAAAGTATTTATACAACAACTTAAAGGTAAAAGGAAATCAATTCACATGAGTAATTAGTCCTACTAAATTATTTCAGCTAGAAAACTCAAGTGGGTTCAAGGTTTCTTGGGCTGAGTAACAGGAGCAAGCACTGTCCTTTTCATTTCTTTTAAACATCTAACTGTTATTCATATATTCTGTTGTTACGAAGCCAAAGACCATGTCAAAAAATTGTCTCATTAATAATGAAATAGAATGCTATTAACTAGGCTTATTAACGGACTTTGGAATGTAGTTGCTACTTTAATGGGCTTTCAAGAGCAGTCAGCTCTTTAAGGGGTTTACTTTTCTTTGGTCACTATTGTTTATGAGAATTACAGTTAGGGCTTTCTCCAGTTGGTCGGTAACGGCAAAAAATGTTCAGAAAAGACTTTACGCTGTCCTTTTTATGATGATTTTACATTTGACATGATTGAACATTGTAATAATTTTCAAAAATTGGAATATTCCTTACAGATACTAAATGATCAGTGACAGCCAGTTTACCCCACCTGTGTGATTATTGCCATAACCACATCCTCCGCTACTTCCCTAAACTCTTGCATGTTTTTCTCCTGATAGCCAGACAATGTCTGAGTAGGAGGAATCTGAGTGGGGGGCTCAGAGAGGTAATGGAGTACCACTAATTACTTTAAAGGCACTTTGATAAAGAAGCATGCAATTCTAGGCCAAAGAGTTTGAGCCCCATGAAGTTTAAAGTAATTCCTACAGAGTTACACTTGAGGAGTAGAGGTCTGAGGGAGTTTAGTTTTGTCACCTACTTTTAAATACATATTAACTCATATTATTAAGTTATATCATAGAAAGGATCAGTCTACTTGGCTTGTTAAAAGGTGGATTAATCGAGATAAACACTGCAGTGTGGTCGAAATAGTAGGAAAGTGTTGATTCATTCATTCAGCAAGTATTTAATGAGTAAGCTCCCTGTTGAGTTCCAGGGGTACGGCAGGGAACAGAGCAGATGCCGCCCTCAGGTCTTAAGGAGTTCACCTTCTGGTGGGGGAGACACACAATTAGTGATAACCAGTAAAATATAATGATATCAGATGGCAATAAGTGACATGAAGGGAAATAAAGCAGGGATAGGATTGTCAGGAGGGAGGCTTTTAAAACAGAGTGATCAGGAGAAGGGCTTTTGGAAGTGGTATTTGAGTAAATGCCTGAAGGAGGTCGGGGAACCAGACATGGTGAGAACAGCATTCTGGTGGAAGGAATGGCAAGTGCAGGGCTGGAGAGTATGTTTGTGGCCCTCAAGGACGAGAGTGGTTGGCAGTGGAAAGCATGGGAGGGAGACTAGGTCCAAGATCACGTCCATCAGATGATGTGGACAAGATCTGAGACCAGTGTAGGAGATGGGAGCCATAAGTGATTTTGAGAAGAGTAGTTTAATGACCTGACTTAAAAGAGTCTTAAGGAATCACTCTGGCTGCTATGCTGAGAAAAGTCCAAAGGGGACCTGCTAGGAGGCTACTGAGCATCCAGGCAAGAGACAGTGGTGGCCTGAGCTCTGAGAGATGAATCAAAGTCGTACTCTGGACATTCTGAAGGTAGACACCATAGGATGTGTTGGCTCACTGGATGTGGGAGCGAGAGAATAAAAGAATTATCGGATGACCCCAAGTCTTTGTTATGAGGAGCAGGAAGGATGGAAGCATTGTTAAAAATAAAAGTAAATTCTGGGGGGAAAAATATAACATTGGGCAGGACTGATACTGCCGCTGACCAAATCAAGACAGGAGACTATTCTCATTGCTCATAATTATCACGGAATGAACAGAGAGGATACCCAAATTGGAGAGTGTAGCTTCCCCTGGTGTAGTGCTTATTATGAATGTATTGTAAGTATATTTTCCAGCTAAAATTCAGAAACATCTTCTAATTTAAAAAAAAATACTCTGGGAACTTGGCTTTTATTATTAATTTTAACCACTGGCTCTTTCACCCATAGACAAAATTATTCCATTGGGAAAATACATATTTAGCACCTAATGTGGGCCAGCAAGGCACTGGACAATTTAGGCAGGAACACGAGGCATTAGGGACACAATTATGAAAACACACACCCTCTTTTCTCCCCTTTTCATTTTTTTCTAGCATTCTGACAGTGCAATCCCTGTTACGAAGAGAAGGTACACATGTGGAAATTGATTTAGCTGGAAATGACTGAAAAGGGTCCTAATGTGAAAAAAGAAAGGAAACCCAGCATCTGAAATTAATGTTACATATGCAACGCGACCTAGGAGAGCTCGGGGCCATTCGTATTTACTGTGTAAAATGTTTCCCATTACCCCGCGCTCCGGCTCTGTCTGCTTCTGCACTAGCAAAGCCAGGTGTGACACTGGGGCTCTCTCTGGGATTTTGCAGTTCAGGAGGACAGGGCAACGGTGCATCAACACGACCTGGCTATGCTAACTTCAGACAGACGAAGAGG